GTGGGACCATCGAATTTGATCACAAATGTGTTTTGATCGCAGCGAGGCAGAGCGGAGCTGATCGTATATGGAATGCTGATCGGAGGATGGCGGGGAAGCTCGGTTAAGTCTGATGTGCGAAGATCCTTGGGCCAACTACTATATTTGGGATGAAATCCATGGTCTAAGGCTAGAAATGGCCCGGAGCTGATCGCAAATGCAATATTGTTGCAAGAAGGCAGGTCGGACCTGATCGTATATGCATTTCTGATTGGAGGGCGTCAGAGCGCCGGTGGCTAAACCAATGGGAGCGAGGCCTCAGACAGGTTCTGAGGAGTCCTGGGAACATAGGGCTGAAAGGGGTAACTGAGTGACGTAGCGTGGAAGTGTGATGGAATATCCTCGGTTGCTAGGTGGGCTGGGCCTGATGATGTAATGATGATGAAGTGCACTGTGATTGGTGCTGGGACTTAGCTGAAACTGCGAAAATGCACCTAGCGACCGTAGCTAAGGCAATAGAAAAGAGCTGCTGGCCGAGAGACGAAGTGCTGAGATGTAGGCTGTGGGCTAGGAGACTCGAGCTCCTCCCAATTCGATTGTTTTGGTATGTACATGTGGTAGGCTTATATACCGCCCTAGCAGGCCACCACCGAGAGTTTGCCTGCTTGGGTGATTAAACTAGGTATGGTAAAAGAAACACTGAAATGAGTAAGATATTAGCTGAAACTTGCAACATAATTGTGTTCCTGTTTGAGATACCGGACCAGACCATTAACACGTATCAAAACACGTTTCACCCATGCTGACTTGGCTGGGCAGTCTTCGCGCATCTTTGCCATGATGGCAGTCCCTTGCCCCGGTCTTCTGGGTGCCTACTGCCTGATGCCGTTGCTACCGCTAAGTCCACCGAGCCTTCTTGCATTCAGAAGCATCGGCGTAGCTTCAGGATGGCCAAGCCTTCTTATGACGCTTCATTTCCGCTGCCTCGTGGTGAATGACTCCCACGGTGGCAATAGCACAGACTGGCTCGTAGCCTTGCCAGCCTAACTTTGCCAAAATTGGGGTCATTGTCATGCTTCTGTCAGTTAGCCGCTGTCGTCGCGCATCACCGATTCTAAGGTAGGTCCTATTTCCACGTCATTATGCTCCCCCTCGATGCGCGGAGCCTCCTTACTGAAGATGACATCACGCTCGACCATGATCGTCCTTCACGTTGGCCAATAGATACGATGTCCATTCGACGAGGTGTCGAATCCGAGCCAGTGAGCCTCAACACCGCACGCATCCAGCTTCGATGTGTTATCAACCTTCACGAATACGGTGTTCTCCCACGGGCACAACTTCGATATGTCTGGTGCATGGCCAAATCATACCTCATATGGAGTTTTGCCATCCAGGGTGCAATGCACAGTCTGGTTGTAGACATGCACTACATAAGCTAATGCCTCACCCCATAGCCATTTTGGCAGACCGGACCCGACAAGGGCCACGTGAACACCATTGAATATTGTTCCATGTGTCTGCTCTGCAACGCTGTTGTGCTCCGGAGTATCGTGGATGGTAAGTTTTCGAATGGCTCCCATTCCCTCGAGGTGCGCTGACATATCGTCAGACAGGAACTCACCTCCATGATCCGACTGCACTATCTTCACATGAGTACCATGCTGCGTCTGCAAACACGTGTCAAAGCCAACAAATTTGCTGAAGGCCTCAGATTTCAACTGTAGTAATGGCATCTCGAGCCAACACGTAGCATCATCGACGATTGTGAGTGCGTAGCGGCTATGGTTTACCGTCATAACTGATGCAGGTCCCCATACGTCTAGATGGACGTGCTTGCCGAACATCTTAGCAAGTGAAGACTGGTGAATAGTGGCGATGGGAGCACAGCGTGCCTTCGCGACTAGGCACGTTCAGCATTCGACCTCCTCGGTGCGTTGAGGGTCTAGGCTGATGCCAGTGATGCGATGCTCACGAAGCATCACCTTGATGTATCCGTAATTCACATGTCCCAGCTGGCAATGTATCTCATGCAATGACAGTGAGACGAGAACTGTGAGCGATGCGCTCGCATAGAAGATCCGGTAGAGACCGTCTGCACGAGGAACTGATCTGACAAGTACGTGTTTCGGATCGATGATTGGTAGCTCCCCCTGATGACCTGTACAGCTGTAACCGTCTTCTTCCAGGACCCCCAGGAACACAAGCATTGCATGCATAGCTGGTGCATACAAGACATCCCACAGATGCAAGTAGCGTGGCCCGTCGTGGTGCACAAAAGCGATATCGAGGTCACCCATACCATCTGCATAGAAGATCTCCAAATTCGCGGTGCGAATCTGATGCGGCACAATTGTATGGTAATTTGTTAGGTGGTCCAAGTGCGGCATCATATGCCGTGAAGCCCCTGAGTCGAAAATGTCGACTCTGCAACCCATTTCCATCACAAGGCCACTGTCTCGTGAGTGTTCGCTATGCGGATCTCAACCTGTTCCGCTAACTCAGAGCAGTCAATGAAGGTTGCCTCATGGCCAGTCACAGGGCTTATCACGGAGGTACTCCAGGCCTCCGAGATTACAGCACCCTGAATAGCTGGTCCAGTCGTCGCAGAGGACGCAGTGCTATTCATCGCACTGTCCTTCAGCTTCACGGTAGCAGCCTTACTGTCGCTTGCACTCACAGCGGCTTCAGTCTTCACTTTCGGGCGTTCATGGTAAGTTTTCGTCAATGGACACTGCGCCTTGCAATGCCCCTTACCACCACATTGATAGCAGGTAATGTCGTCAACTGATCTTTTAGCGATGCCTCCTTGATTCGATCCCTGACCGCGACCCCACTGGCCACGCTGTGCCCCTCAGCCACTCTTCCCTCCTCGAGGTGTGCTAACTGCAGCTCTGGCGATAGCAGTTCGCTCGCCCGACTTCAGCATGGTGCGCGAGTTGGCCTCAGCTCGCAACGCACATATGATCTCGTCTGGCATGACCGTCTTCCTGGTCACGCCTGTCGACAGCGTCGAGTTGTAAATCTCAGCAGCAGTCATAATCACAGTGACACTCAGTGTGAATGAGCGGGGAATGGAGGTGGTGATCACATTTATGTAAGTACGATCCTCGATGAGAATGTTGGACTCCGCTAACTTCTCCTTGAGCTCGGCCAGCTGGTCGAGGTGCTGACGCAGCTTATGCTCATCAGTACACTTCAAAGTGAATAATTTTGCCTCCATTACGGCGTCCATCGCAGCGGTCGGTGTCCCAAACTCGGTTTTCAGTCCTTCGATGACCTTGAATACCTCAGTGACGCTGAAATATTTCCGAAAAAGTGAGTCGGTGAATTTTCCGGTAATCGTGTTCAGCATCTGTTTATTCAGCTTGACCTCTTCAGCCTTCGAAGAGTCAGCAGAATGCGTCAAGAGATCATTGGCATTGCATGTGCCTGCAGCGCACTGGACACGGCCTAGCCAGATGCGATAGTTCGATCCGTTGGCAGCAAGCTTCGGGACCTCAGAGAACTCCTTCGCGATGGATGGCGTCATGGTGAGAACAGCAGACTGCAATGGGGAAGGTGTTGGTGGTTGAGCCAGAGGAGCCGGAGGAGCCGGAGGACTAGAGGACACTTCGGAAGCCAGGGTTGCTTTGAAGGTGTATAGGGAAGGATCAATACGAGACAAATGAGCGAGGTGGGATTCCGTATGGTACGGGTAAAGATCTTCTAGATCTGAAACCTCGTGACCCTGCTGTCCAAGCAGGCAATGAGTACTGGTGTGAATATGTGTGCGTTCAAAGGTAACGGTCTGCTTATATCTAAAGCAGATCTTCATGCACTGACTTCGAGTATCCGCAGGTGATAAGCTCGGGGCTCATAACCTAATGCACTACGGCACGGAGGTGCAATGGATGACCACGAAGGGTCAACGTGGCTGGTACACCTGCGTCTACTCGACACGGAAAGACCGGAGGGCTAAAGTGACGTGTACTATCGCGTCAGCAGATTGCACCAGGATAAAGCCTCTATATTCATACCTAAAGTGACACGTACTATCACGTCACTGTGCTAAGCGTAAGTACATCTGTACGGTGCAGAACTATATGTAAAACCACGTATGCGGATTGCACCAGGGTAAAGCCTCTGGGGCATCCGACGTACTCGCTGCAAATATATATGCTAACTGTCAAGTGTCTGAAGGGAAGTGAGCGTTGGGGAGCTCAAAATCGAGTGGGGTAAGCGTATACTAAACCAGGCAATAATGTAACCTTATAGGTACCAAGGCGAGCCGCAGATCACAAATCGCGACAACATGATCAAAATTTGACCGCAAAAAATGCGGTCTAAAGCTCAAATTCAGGCAGAGGTGGCTGCGACAGTATCAACTATTAGAGGTGGCCTTCCCGGAAGACCGGTCAAATATGGTATAACAATTCTGATTCTTGGATATTGGCAGAAATGAGCTAACAATGCTGTACAATTGTGGCTTCAGACAACTTGGCATATTGGAGGAAAGGACGTAGTTGCGGCATACATCTGAAGTCCAACGCGTTCTTGCCTGCCCTAAACTCACGCGTGTCAAGGTGGCTCACATCCGTGGCCTCGAATTTTAATTCGTACGCCTCGCTCAACCAACTAAGTGAGGCATTTCTCCATTGGAACACCTAGCTGCTAGGTAGTCTGTCTCGATCAGTGTCGACAAACGGTCGTGAACCTGAAAAACATCTTGACTTCCTACACATTAATCCGTGTCGCTGTTTCATCGATCACTGCCACTTGAACTACAACCAAACGTATATACAAGCATCGGATATCAGATATTCGAGCCCCAAGAAGCAAGAAAGACATTCGGTACGAGCAAGGTGTCACATGTGCTACCTCGGCGCAGCGAACCACCGTCGCATTTCTCACCGACATCTATGCCTGGGTCAAATCGATCAGCGCAGATCGAAAGAGGTCAAGCGGACGCGATCAACCTTCGCCAGGTCTTCTGGCCATCTCCATGTCTGGCAATTCTGGATCGCCTCGAACCGAGGCTGTGCCATTTTGGGGCACACTACGACCACTCGGAACCCTTTTGTTGCGAGCTTAGAGACTGTCGGTATGTAATCTTTATCGCCCGCGACGATAATGATCGTCGCGGGAGGCGAAGATGACTTCGTATATGCATCGACATCGGCTACGATGCCGTCAACCTTTGTCATCTGGGTCATAAAGGAATCGTATCATACCCATTATCCTGGTGTCGACCACCTGTTGACAGCCGCCGTGTTCACATCTGATGAACTCGATGCCTTCCTCATGCATCGCTTCTCGCAGAAGCACACTTCTTCTGGACTTCACACTCCATACGCCCGTGTAGAGGCGCAGTACGTCAACCGTCCCATATCTTCGTGCCAGCTGGCATAGCCGTTGGACAATGGGTACTCTGATGTTGGCCGGAGTTGATGGCACCTGGATGTTCTCTGGGATCAAATGCGCCATGACGCACAAAGAACATCCCGAGAACAACTCACACACATACCGTAGTCCCAGAACAAAGCGACACGGTGCCCTTGACCGTTATCTGACTTCGCTTTGTGTAAGCCGAGCGAGGAAAGCGATGCATCGCGCGACGAGGGGTGAGTCCCCGAGATGAGTGAACGCTGTTGCGGGGAGGTAGTAAGGGAATGAGAGCAGAGGCGGATGGGCGGAGGCACGAGCATGCCGGTCGGTACGTGTGTAGGTTAGGCTTCACGAAGCCATACTATATATAATCGACGCCTCACAAGAGTTGTGCCGTGACCACGAGAGCATGCATGGAGAAGAGAAGTCTCTTAGCGACGGCCTTCATGAACCTTGCTGAAGGACTGAGCCTATTATGACAAACAGGTAAGATATTTTGTGCTGGGTAGGGGGTGGCATCGAAGTGAGAACATGTTCTCTGTGTAGACGGCGCAAACGGGCCTGAGGATCGCGGTGGGAAGGGAACATTGTGAAGGCAACGTTTCACGTTTATGCAGCATGCACAGAATGCAGACACGTCTTTGCCTGAAGCGTTGCGTCGCGTCTGATCGAGTCGATCCACCATCAAATGCGAGCGCAAACAGCTTGAATACGATCGCTGGCACATGCTGTGGAAGCCAATTCTATGGCCAACCGGTCACTTCATCGCGCTCATGCGATACGAACGCGATTGTCGCGCGCGATGATGTAAGTTCACGATAAACGTACCACTGAATCGAGAGCCTCGCTTGAGAAATTCTTGGATTGGAAGACATCTCGCTAACCGCGGTGCGCTAACTGTTCTATATAAAACCTTGTGGTAGTGCTATCATGCTCATTCATAACAAAATAGCCAACAATTGCTTTGTGGTAGTGCTATCATGCTCTGCGTAAGGATCCCGCCGACACACTCTGGGCTCAAACGTGAGAGCCACAATGTATCATCGAACTTGTTTGCAAGTGACAAATCACCGCAGCATACGATCCAAAGTAATGGTACATTGAGAGAATACAAGACTGATCATGTCCTCCACGGATTAACTGCTCACCAGAACGTGGTCATAATTGGCAGCATCCATCATCAGACAACGGGGCCATTAGCTTAGCCAATCCGCTTCGCATCGATTTCTCTTTCACCGTTTTCGCCTTTTCTGCTTTCTTCTCGGATTTCAACGATACAGGGTCGACCCACGGTTTCCACTTACTATCTCGATGATATAGGATTGATAGCCGATTCCATGGCGTACGCAGCCTTTCTAAAGTGCCCATGCGTGGAAATCGTGTGCGCGAACAGCAGATCAAACTGGGTCTTGAAACCCTTGCTAATCACGGGGTAAGTCTGACTATCGTGCCCCCGAACGTTCAGGCAGTACCGTTTCTCTTCCGCGGAGTCCTGAAGATACCCTATCCGGGTGCTGTATTTCCCCTCGGAAGGTTTCTTAGGGATCTCATATTGGATATCAGTACGAGACCCGCCAGAGTATGTGCTATCGGCAACGAAGTCCATAAGAAGTGCGATGTAGCTGGTGGGTTATAACGCACAGGCTGGCCTGATTCGTCAGTGGTCTCGATCACAGGGCTTGCCAGTGCAGCAGCTAGCTTCCGTTCGGATGCTTTCATTCGCGCCTTCGTGTGGACGACGATATATCCGAGCAAACTCTTGTCGAAAGGCTGGGCGAGGTCTCCGCGGTATGTTACGACCAGCGAATCGAATACGGACTGACCATGGGTGCACTGTACGGCGACACCTCGACACCACAGTTCATAAAGCCACTCGGAAGTGATGATGCTGATTTCCTCGTCGGTTTGAGTCCAGTGAGTAAAATTCATCCAGATATTCCCTGCATCAACAAGAAGGCCCTGGACTTCATCCCCCTTGTTCTGATCCTTGACGCCGAGGTCGTCGCCAAACAAGGTTGTAAGGAAGTCTGACAGTTTCAAAGGGCGCACACCGCGTCGAGCAGGTTCTGGGCAATCGACGAACGATCCTCCATTCGAGAGTGTCGCCTTGTCGCGCGTGAGGATGAATAAGAGCCTGGTGCATAAGTCACCTTGTCGCCCTCGATCAGTCACGATCCTGTCGATAATGAGTAGTCGCACCAGCGTCTCCACCGCTTTCGCATAGTTTCGCGGGCTGTCATTCAAGATATCTGCCGCAGCGATGGCAAGCATCGGTTCCGAAGGCGCATTGGTCACGATGAATCCATCCAAAACATCGGTGAGGAGGCGCATATGACTGCGTACGGCATGTACAGCGATTTGGCTCGATTGCTTCTTGTCACTCAGTTCTAGCACGATACGGTTCGCGAAGATGGCGAACACATGATCGAGGTTTTCCGGATCGAATTTGTCGTGATATATGAGTTTCTTCCTCGCAGCACGCACAACGTCTGGAGAGTCACCAAGCGTATACCAATACTACGTATCGGCTTGGTGAGTGACAGTTCAGAAGATCAAAGAAAGCGCTACTTACAGGCCGGCCGAACATTGCAAGAAAGCGGATCAGAAGAGCTTGCTCCGCGCTTTTGAGCTCAACATCTCGACGCATCTGGTCGAAGTCGACGTGACACCACACAGGCAAGGGTTTAAGTGCACCCGCTAAACGATACGATGACGCATCAGGCCCAGAAGGAGCGAGCTCATATAAGGAGGAGTTCGTGTCCAAGAGCATATACCAAAATTCGATACCGTGCGGGAAAGTGAATTGGTCTGCGGCCTTGATGATACGCTGAAGAGCGATGAGCGACATCTTTCGCTGAGGACCTTTCGGACCAACAAGTAGGCTGGGATCGTTGAGTTCTGTACATTCATCGAGACTTAGAAGGAATCTCGTATGCCCTAAATGTTGCACTGATCCCGCGAGCATATCGAAAGCCGGCTTTGCAAGCATTTTGAACAAAAGCTCGTGCCAACGGGTAACGCTGATCCTCAATCTTTGGACTCCGGTGTCGTTATCAGCCTCCGTTGCCGTCGTGCCGTCGTGAGACGGTCTCTTGGCGTACAATTCTTCCTTGAACGTAGTCAGCCGTTTATGAGTGAGTTTTTTCACCTGTTCAAAGCAACGGTGGCGACTTGAGCCCTCGAGATCGGTTGGATCCTTGATAGACCAGTCATTGACCCAGGCCTGCAGTGGAAGATCGACAGGCGCTGTGTCACGCAAAACCTCCACGAGCGCACCGAGAAAGGCAGCCGCCTTCTCCTCCGCCTGTGAGTCTGACTGAGCGACGCACATCAAAGGATATCATATGGAGAACTCACCACGAAGATGGACTGCTGCTCGTCGAGCCCATCAAAGGACTTTCGGTTGATGTCACGAGGAGGCCATCCTGAGGTTGGTAGTTCGCCCTCTCGGAAACAAACACAGAATGCAGGTATCTGTCGTTCATGTCCTTCAATCAGTCAGCGTACGACAGACTGAACAAGCGCACTCACTCGAAGCCCTAGCTCCCATGCTAGACGAGACTTTCCCGTCCCGCTAGCTTGAACGAAGGGTATCATACGACCGTAGTATATTCATTTGTCGTATATTTCCGCATAAATGTTCAAAGAGTCTTGAAACAATTCGACGAAGCCTCCGCGGAACGGTACACGGAAGGCCTGTCCAGTCGCATTTGTTGATCGGCTCTATAGAATGATCACAACTACAACGTGAGTGTCGGGTTGACAATGAGGGATGGAGTTGACGTACATCGTCTCAATCGCGGCAGGCGGCGGTTCGCGTACTACGATGATGTCGGTCATCATTCAGCACTAGTAGCGTGAGGAATGAACAGACATATCGCAGGCATATAGAAGAAATGCTGCAATATCATTGTCGGCCATTAACTTGTCCAAAACATCATCCGGCCGCGGATGGAGTCTCTGCCAAGACCCACCCGCTCCACCATCCTTGAATAGAGCTGCCCATAGTGCACTGGGAACATTATCGAGCGGGATGTTTGGAATTGACTCTTCAATGCGACGGAATGCAGAATCGAGAAATCTCCGGCCTCTTCCCACTCCGACGTCATCAAGGTAGAAGTACCACGCACTTTGGAGCCTATCCAGCATCCGGGTTACCCCTGGGTATTGAGAGGATTGCTGGCCACCTAACATGTGTCGCGAAAACCAGGAAGTCAGTTGGTCAATTGCTGATGAATGTTGAATGTTCGACATGTGGATGAAGATTCTGATATGTGATGGAGAGAGGAGAGAAAGACAAGATGCGCCTCGCTCAGCCAATTAATTTCCATTGAAAAGCCTAGCTGCTAGTATTCTGTCTTGATCAGCGTCAAACGGTCGCGAACCTGAAAAACATCTTGACTTCCTATGCATTAGTCCGCGTTCCCGATTCATCGACCTCTGCCACTGGGCTACAGCCAAACCGTATATACAAGCATCGGATACCAAGTATTCAAGCCCAAGAAGCAAGAACGGCATTCGCTGGGAGACACAGGAACGCAGGGTATCACATGCGTCGACTCGGGTGCAGCGAACCACCGTCGCCATTTCTCACCGACATCTATGCCTGGGTCAAATCGATCAGCGCGGATCGAAAAAGGTCAAGCGGACGCGATCAACCTTCGCCAGGTCTTCCGGCCATCTCCTTGTCTTGCAATTCTGGATTGCCGTGAAACGAGGCTGTGCCGTTTTGGGGCACACTACGACTACTTGAAATTGCTTCCTTATAAGCTCGGAGACCGTTGGTAAATAATCCTTATCGCCTGAGACGATAATGATTGTCGCGGGAGGCGGAAATAACCTCGTATATGCATCGATATCGGCTACGATGTCATCAATCATTGTCATCTGGGTCATAAAAGAATCATATCGTACCCATTATTTTGGTGTCGACCACCTGTCGAAGGCCGCCGTGTTCGCACATGACGAGCTCCATGCCCTCCGCATGCATCGCTTTTCGAAGAAGCGTATTCTTTTCCGAGTTGGCGCTCCATATGCCCGTGTATAGGCGCAGCACATCGACTCTCCCGTATTTTCGTGCAAGTTGGCATAATTGTTGGACAATCAGTCCACGGACGTTGGCCGGGGTTGATGGCACCGGGATGTTCTCTGAGTCAAATGCACTATGACGCAAGAGAACATCTCGAGAAGAACTCACGCACATACCGTAGTCCCAGAACAAAGCGACACGGTGTCCTTGACCGCTATCTGGCTTTTTGGACTTCGCTTTGTGTAAGCCGAGCGAAGATAACGATGCGTAGCGCGACGAGAGGTGAGTTCCCGAAGGCAATGAACGCCGCTGCGGGCGGGTAGTAAGGGAATGGGAGCAGAGGCGGATTGGCGGAAGCACGAGCATGCCGGTCAGTACGTGTGTAGGTTAGGCTTCACGAAGCCACTGGATTCATGCTATATATATTAGGCACCTCACAAGAGTTCTGCCGTGACCACGAGAGCATGCATGGAGAAGAGAAGTTTCTTAGCGACGGCCTTCATGAACTTTGCTGAAGGAGAAGCCTGCTATGACAAACAGGTAAGATGCTTGTGCAGGGTGGTGATGGCATCGGAGTGAGAACATGTTCTCTGTGCAAACCGCGCAAACAGGCCTGAGGATCGCAGTGGGAAGGGAACATTGTGAAGGCAACGTTTAACGTTTATGCAGCATGCACAGAACGCAGACGCGTCTTTGCCTGAAGCGTCACGTCCCGTCTAATTGAGTCGATCCACCATCAAATGCGAGCGCGAACAACTTGAATATTATCGCTGACAAATGCTCTGGAAGTCCCAATTCTATGGCCAACCAGTGCTTCATCGCGCTCGCGCGATACGAGCGCGATTGTCGCGCGCGGTGATGTAAGTTCACGATAAACGTACCACTGAATCGAGAGCCTCACTTAACAAATTCTTGGATTGGAAGACATCTCGCTAACCGTGGCGCGCTAGCTGTTCTATGTAAAGCCTTGTGGCGGTGCTATAACAAGTGAGCCCAACAATTGCTTTCCCTGTTTAACGATCCCGTTGACACACTCTGAGCTCAAGCGTGAGAGCCACAATGTGTCATCGAGCTTGTTTGCAACTGAGATTAGCTCCTATCAGCCTGGATCTCCATGTTCGAAGGCGACTTCTCATCAGCATGTCAATGAAAAGCTACATGCGAGAGGCAAACATTCTGCTGATTCCGAGTGACGAATGCCAACTTGATGCATTCTGACAATAGACGCTATGCAACAGGGATCTTAGAGCTTAGCGCTTAATCGTCGGACAGCGCGCTAGAGCCAGCCAGGACACTTTGCCTGCCAATGACATCAAGCGGGCGACCAAATACCCGAACTTTCACATATAATACACAGTGAAGTACGTCTTACATCAGAAGGCAATACTGAGTTACTGACATGAGCTGGACGTTAAACGTTAAAGGCGGGTGTCTAGACTGATTTGGCTTCAGCGACGACATGCTTAGTTCTACGACGTATATCACCTTTGAACAGCTTCGGGTGCCTGGACGTCGTTCGGAGAAGCTCGATGAAGAAATCAAAAGAGGGAACACATAATTGACTGTCCCTGACACAAATTCAACTGGTGCCATGATCTCCTTTCCAGACAGTCATCAGCCCTGCGAGTGTTCAACGTCGCTATCATACTTGCGAATGCCAGCGAGACGTTTGCGTCCGCAAGGAGACGAACAGGGCATAAACTGCAATAGTGACATATAATATCAGGTAATAAATACCTTCCACTTACCAGCGTCCGAGACCGACAACGTGGATCGACAGGACCGCTCATATCTCGGGCGCTTTTTTCAAATCTCTCACGACGGAAGAGTTCATGATCAGACAGGGAACATCTCTCGTCCCGTGTCATATGTAGCTTCGCGTTCGCATTGACAAGGGGTTCTCGTAAATGTGTCACTGAGGTATGCACTCGATGTTCGGCACAATCATGGTGCCACCTCGCATGTGATAGCCGTGCTATTCATCATCTTCCGAGCCGATGAGGTAACGCTAGAATCGCGTTAGCGCTTCCTCCCATCCACTGACGTTAGATCTTATACGGCTCACAGAGAGGCACAACGGCACTCCATCTACCTGATCAACCACTATTCGCTTCCAGAGTAGATGAATGCACTTACCGGTGGACCTCTTTCTACGTAGGCGCGTTCTAGGTGTGTAAGCGATGCTCGGTCGCCGAAGTTGGGATTCGAATTTATCGTCTGCTGTGGATTCGGCTATCTCTTTGAGGATATTTTGCATATTAATGCAGCGCCCGAAGTCTATCTGACCAGTTGAGAACCCTGAAGAACGTGATTCCAAAAGGCGACTGGCGCACCACATCCTCCTTGACCTTCAAGGCGACGTTTCTCGCATGTTCACCGATGGCATGAATCTTCAAAGCGTTGTGCTGGAAGCCTTCTCGCGGCATCCACGTTGGCAGATATTTCAACTATCGAGAATGATCATTACTTTGAAAATGCCGTGCTGTGAGGGAAGCCATGCTTACGGATCGGGAAGAAGTGCACTATCGTAGAACCCGCTCCGCCAGTCTCAAAGGCGCCTGTGCTCACTTTCTCCGCCGTGTCCTCATAGGTCTCGTCGAGATAGCCATAGCCTATCTCGAGCAGCATAGCACCAGCATATCTGCAGATGACGGGCATAAATAAACCACACATCGGAACTTACCGGTTGATAATGGGCAATGAGAATCGTCTGGCGTGTTAAGCATACTTTGTACGAATATATCGGCCTCCCGTTCTTTGCAGAGGATAAAAGCCGTTGGAGGACACTATACTTGCAAAGGGTCTTGCGGTGGCGACGCCATCGGTTCCTGTATGGCATGAGGGGATTGAAATTAGGATGGAAGGAACAGACACTGGATCGCATCTAGGCTACAAGCAACGCGAGCTACGTCTGGACGTTCACAGCTCGTAGAATATTACAAAACGTGGTCGGCCAGAGTATATGAAACCTCGTTTCTCTGACAGATCGCGTGGCGCCCGAAGAAAGTTGATCCTGAACATTCGCACGAACCGGTAGCCTGTGACCAACTATCCCGCGCATCCTAATCTTCGGTGAACGGTTACTTGTGCAGACATATATTGGCTCAAGAGAGGTAATGCTCTATTCCTGTGCACGCAGCCATAGTCCCATTGCATGGATATACGATCCTCTTGTAGAATTCGTTTGCGCAGTAGGCGTTTCCAGTCAAGTAACCAAGTATCAGCTGGCTTCATCGGGCCTGACACTGTCGCGAGGTCGAAACCAGTCACACCAACACTCTCGACAACATATGTTCGCCACCACAGGAGAAGAAGGCCAGTTAATAATATACGGCATGTACACACGGAACGAGGAGTTGAGACCGACGTGGAGCCAGACGTGAATCAACCGGAGAACAAGCCTCAAAATGGAGTCCGGAGAGGCCATGTTCACATGATCGCACGTAAATCCGGAAGTTGATGTTGAAGATGCAACGAAACTAACCTATGAGAAGGTGAACATACGATAGATCCCGCCTGCAGCTCGTCTCGGTGAGTTCACAGCTGCTGCAGTGTCCAAAAGACATTCGGGTATTGGCGCCCCTTTGACCTGGTGCCAGACAACGGAGCTGTGGACGTCCAACGCCACAGCCTACGTGTGCCAGAGACTCAGTAGCAACGATGACCTTTCGAAATTCGGAGGTAAGGGCGGCTGCGATTGCAACAATCACTTCGAAAATTTGCTGCTACGTCCGATGTAATCAGTACTGTGACATATAAAAATGCCCACTGTGCCTGTCATGAGGCTTGTATGTCGCGGTTTGGGAGATTGGTGAGCCGGAGAGCGTGCAGGATCTTGAGGGAGCATTGCCATGTACATCCTACTGATCAATACCCATTGATGAGTCCCGCGCATGAATGGAACAAGAAGGCTCTACACTGGTCATAATACAATTGTAATGTATGATCGCGTAGGGGGCATGAGAACGGTAGCAGCAAGAGTGATGGCACTAGACGCTCTGTGGCCACTTGTTTATTCAAGTCCTCTACTTGACGTGATAAGGGAAATGGCTGAAAATAACTCGATAAATAAACATCTCTACGTCTCCTCCTCTCCTTCACAGCGCGGCAGCAGCAGCACATGCGCACTGCGGACACTGCACATGAACTGACCATACAATCCTTTCACCGCCGCATCGTGCACTAAGACAACCGTATTGCGTAATTATCTGGCTGCATCGTGAACCACGCGTGCGGGCGTTAGCCTATGTCTGAGATCCCCCTGCAGAGTCTTGGACGAGCCAGGAAGTCAAAGGCTGGATACGTACCTCTCCAGAACGGCGAGCCGAGCGGCGACAACGACGAGGAGGGAGACAGCATGTCGATGAGCACCAGGGCCGCTGCATCGTCTTCAGCCAGGCGGAAGGGCAAACGCAGGGAGAGGTATGATGCGGAACGCGCGGAGGAACACGCTACATTGCTCGGAGACGAGTCGCAGGAGGACGTGGAGTTGGAAGAGGAGAGCGATAGTTCAAAGAAGGCGCGGAAGCCGGAATCGCCATCACAGGTACGCTGTCGCATATATGTGCAGTCGTATTCACTGCATAAACGACCGAAGTAGCGGTCGTCATGGGCGCGCAGGTTCAAACCACCACCTCAAGACAAATCAAGAGCGGTGCCATTCCGCCCTCCAGGTATGTCGCCACTCTATTACCTTGCTTGTGTGCAGTGCATCATGTCATTTGTATCAGACAAGCTGCGAGGCCACTTCCCACCAAACATCATCCGGAATCAAAAGTACAATGTCATCACATTCCTCCCCATTGTGTTCTATGAACAGTTCAAGTTCTTCTTCAACCTCTACTTCCTCGTGGTCGCGCTCTCGCAGTTTGTCCCTGCGCTGAAGATCGGTATGTCCGTCAGCAAAGTCCCTTGTCTTCGCGAGTTGACGGTGTATAGGGTTCATCGTGACATACGTCGCGCCTCTCGCATTCGTCCTATCCGTGACAATGGGTAAGGAGGCTTATGATGACTATAAGCGCAATGTACGCGATCGTGAGGCGAACTCTGCCAAATACATCGTCCTGGAGCCGGACACCTACGCCTCGCAGCAGGCTCCGCCTGACCCAAATGTCCATCGCGAGAGCGGGGTGTGCATGCGCTCTATACCCTCCTCGGTGCTGCGAGTAGGCGACTGCGTTCTGCTTGAAAAGAACCAACGTGTTCCCGCCGACCTGATCCTGCTCCGCACGTCGGACCACTCGGGGGCGTGCTTCATCCGGACGGACCAGCTCGACGGAGAAACGGACTGGAAGCTGCGCGTTGCTGTCCCGTCATGTCAGAAGCTTCAAAGTGATGCAGAGTTGCTTAGGTTAGATGCTGAAATCTATGGTAAGTGTCCCCCCACGATGTAGATATCGGCTGGACTCATATCATTCCGCCGTGAGCTCAGCCGACGCGCCAATCAAGGACATCCACGCATTCGTTGGGACTTTCACCGTGAATGCTCCTCCGGCCATCCTGGAGGACGACGTGCCCATGGTCCAACAACCGACTGTTGAGCCTCTCTCAGCGGAAAACATGTTATGGGCGAACACAGTCCTTGCAGCTGGCTCCGCCGTCGGATTCGTTATATACACTGGTTCTGAGACTCGTGCTGTTATGAACACTAGTCACCCGGAAACCAAAACAGGACTGCTGGATTTGGAGATCAACAGACTCGCGAAGGTCAGTACTTTAACCTCTTTTGAAAAAAATAATTCAATGAGAAGCGGTTTAGATCCTATGTGCGGTCACTTTCGCTCTGTCGTTCGTGCTGGTGGCCCTGAACGGCTTCCGCGGCTTGTGGTATATCTATATCTTCCGATTCCTTATTTTGTTCTCTTCTATTATACCTATCAGGTAGGCCTGGTCCCATTATAGTCCCCGAGGTTAAACTGATGCGGAGGTGCTAGCCTGCGAGTCAATTTGGATATGGGCAAGACAGTATACGCGCAGCAGATTATGTCAGACAAGGAGATACCCAATACGATTGTGCGGACAAGCACGCTTCCGGAGGAACTTGGGCGGATAGAGTACCTGCTTAGTGACAAGACAGGTACTCTTACGCAGAATGGTCAGCCATTTGAGATTATTATGAGGTTGGAGCTGACTGGCAACCTAGAGATGGAAATGAAGAAGCTGCATATGGGCACCGTGTCTTATGGTTACGACTCTATGGACGAGGTCGCGCATCAGCTGGCTGTTGCCTTTGGTGCGAGCACCGAGCAAGGTAACGATTGGACACACGACATTGGAAACCATCGCGACTAATGATTGCCGTCAGTCAATCTTCGAACGGGATCCAACCCGACTGGAGCGCAGTTGGCCACTCGGGGGCGCAGAGATATGTCTTCACGTGTCCACGATGTCGTGCTGAGCTTGGCACTCTGTCATAACGTGAGCTTGTCTACTTCGCTTGTGTTTCCCTCGCTGAAAAGGTATGTCTCCATAGGTCACCCCAGTTACTAACGACGATGGGACGGTCACCTACCAGGCCTCCTCGCCAGATGAAGTCGCCATCGTGAAATGGACGGAGTCAGTAGGCCTCACGTTGACGTTCCGTGACCGTACGCGCCTCGAACTCCGAACACCATCTGGTGCCCATGTTTCGTTCGACATCCTTGATATTTTTCCATTTACCTCCGAGTCAAAGCGTATGGGAATCGTCGTGCGCGACACGCAGTCGGGTGAGATCACCTTCCTACAGAAGGGTGCGGATGTAGTCATGACCCGCATCGTACAACGGAACGACTGGCTCGAGGAGGAATGTGCCAACATGGCCCGAGAAGGTTTGCGCACACTCGTGGTGGCGCGGAAACGGCTGAGCGAAGCGACCTATGCCCTCTTCAAAGAACGCCATCATCAGGCGAGCATCCGCGTGGAAGGCCGAAATGAGGCCATGGCCGCCGTCGTGACTGGACTCCTTGAACACGAGCTGGAGCTGTTAGGTCTGACTGGTGTCGAGGACAAATTACAAGATGATGTCAAATCGACTTTGGAGCTGCTTCGGAATGCCGGCATCAGGATCTGGATGCTCACAGGCGACAAGATTGAAACTGCTACTTGCATAGCAATCTCCACGAAGCTGGTTGCGAGGAATCAATACATCCATCAGGTTGCGAAGCGTGCGTCGACCCGTGGTTCGGCTCCGAGTTTGCCCCTCACTTCATCGATGCTCTCTGTGCCTTAGTGAAGACCTCTGACGAAGTTAGAGATCAGCTTGAGTTCCTCCAGAACAAGCTCGATTGCTGTCTAGTCATCGACGGGGAGTCATTACAAGTGCGTTGTGTTTCTGGCTGGTTTGTCGCATTGCATGGGTTGAAGTGTGCATGCAGTTGTGCATGAACCTTTTCAGGGACGAGTTCGTCGAGATTGCGACGAAACTCTCTGCAGTTGTCGCCTGTCGCTGTTCGCCCACTCAGAAGGCAGACATAGCACGGCTCATCCGCAAGCATACCAGAAAGCGGGTCTGCTGCATAGGAGACGGAGGAAACGACGTCAGCATGATTCAAGCGGCCGACGTTGGTGAGTAATCTTGAATGAAAAGGCAGGCCTTCCAGCAAATTCATCTGATATGCTCAGGCGTTGGAATTGTCGGCAAAGAAGGCAAACAAGCGTCCCTGGCTGCTGACTTCTCCGTGACGCAATTCAGCCACCTCACAAAACTCCTGCTATGGCACGGTCGCAATTCTTACCGCCGTTCTGCGAAGCTGGCACAATTCGTCATTCATCGCGGCCTCATCATCTCGGTCATGCAAGCCGTGTTCTCGGCCATCTTCTACTTCGCTCCGATAGCGTTGTACCAAGGATGGCTCATGGTCGGATATGCCACTGTCTATACGATGGCGCCTGTGTTCTCGCTTGTACTCGACCGGGACGTGAGTGAGGATCTCGCGCTGCTATATCCGGAGCTGTATAAAGAGTTGGTGAAGGTAAGCGAGAACCGCAGGAATTAATGGCGTCCACTTTACGTGCTTGCAATCCAGGGCCGAGTGTTGTCGTACAAGACATTCTTCATGTGGCTAATGATCAGCGTGTATCAAGGTCAGCTTGTTCACTCAAGATCCCCAACGAAGTGCTTACTAATGGGTCGGGCAGGAGCGGCTATCATGATCATGTCTTTGTTGCTGTTCGAAAACGAGTTCCTGAACATCGTGTCCATCTCGTTTACGGCCTTGGTTCTCAATGAACTGATTATGGTGGCATCAGAGATCACTACATGGCGAGTGTGGATATTCCCCAATGACTTACGAAGCTAAAATTTCTCGATAGGCATATCTACATGGTGATGGCCGAAGTAGTGACACTGTTCTTCTACTCGATCAGCATTGTGTTCTTGCCTGAATACTTTGGTGAGTATTAATCAGCCAGCGCCGTGTCCTGCTTCTCATCATGCATTAGATCTTTCCTTTGTGCTTTCGGTGAGGTTCGCTTGGAAGGTGGCGGTGATTGTCGCGATCAGTGCATTCCCACCGTATGTTATAAAACTTATATACCGTCGGGTCGCACCCGCCGCCTCCAGCAAATTACTGTAACTTATGCTGTTCATGCATTCGCGTTCCTGCACTTCATGTTGGACCTTTCTGTTTTGTCAAATGCATTTACATGATTGCTTCTGGATCAGTGTCGGCAATGACGATGCAATGTCAGTCAGAAATCAGAGAATTGCAGGTATGCGTATGCGCTACAAAGAAGGAAGTGACTATAAGCGAAAGCGTCAAGATGGGCTACTAGCTACCACGTCAGCGCTCCCTAACTGCTGCTATGAGGCGAAGGTGACGGGTTGTGTGCCGCCGTGAAGGGGTTGCCAAAGAAGTTATTTGGCGACGGGTGTGAGTTGGGATGCCAGTCTGCGCCCGTCGGTGGCGACGTCGCTGCCCACAGCGGCGGTCCGATTGGCGCTGGTGGCCTCGGCGGCGCAAAGCCTGGTGGTGCAGGCGCGCCCCATGGTGCCCTGACGTCGGGTAGAGAGGTCCGCGGGCTTGCCCACGCAGGCGCACCTGGTGCCGCACGACGACCACCCGCAGGCGTGACAACCTCGTCATCGTCAGCCGCCAGTGCAGACGAGCCCAATGGGACCTTCGGGCTCGGCGACCGGCGCGTGGGTGAGGTGGACCCTGAGCCTGACGCCTCTCCCGACGTCGATGGACGCGCGATAGGTGCGATGGGCCGCGTGATCGGACCCGGCATTGACATGCTCGTGCTGGGCGTCATCAGTTGCGTCGGAGACGCGAGCGGATTTGCGTTCTGCACGGCCTTGGATGGCGGGGCGATCGGCGCGGGAGGGCCAATGGGTATTGGAGGACCGATAGCACCTGCAGGAGGAGGCGCAATAGGACGTACAAAATTCGAAGCAGATTCATAGGGCACGCCGTTGCCGAACGTCCGCGGGACTGCAGACGGTCCCAGCGGGGGAGGGCCGACCATCCCCACGAACGGAAGGTGATGACCAGGCGGAAACGGCCCACGCGGCGAGAGCGTCGGGGGTGACATGACGTTCATTGGTGGGGAGAAGAGCGGCGTCGGGGGTGGCTGCTGCTGCGGGAGATGGTTTGAACTTGTGCTCGCCACGGGCATGGGGTGGGCCATCTGCGGCATCGCAGGCTGCTGTGGCGAGTTTGTGATCACCGACACGCGCGGCGGTGGCGCGCGGCTGAGGGGCGGCTGAATGGGTGTGGGAGCGATAGTCAGGACACTCGGAGCCTTGTTGAGGATCTTCTTTGCAGGCGGCGAACGCTGTGACGGCCCCGCCGCGTTGCGTGGCGAGGTGGGAGTGCGCGTATGAGCATTCCTTGAACCAGCGGATGCACGCTGCTGCTGTTGCTGCTGCTGCTGTGCTGCCCGCTCGCGCGCTTCCGTTTCCCTCTCTGCCCTCTCCTTCTCCTTCTCAGCTCTTTCCTTTTCTGCCCGTTCCCGCTCCTCCCTTTCTTTTCGTTCCCTCTCCTCCCTTTCCTTCCGTTCCCGCTCCTCCTTCTCCTTCTTCACCGCACGGTCCTTTCTCTCCCTCTCTTCCCTCTCCTCCCTTGCCTTCCGCTCCCGCTCCTCCTTCTCCTTACGTGCACGCTCTTCCTTCTCTCTTCGTTTACGCTCACGCTCCGCCTCGCGCTCGCGCTCCTCCGCGAGCCGCTTCCGTCGCTCCTCCTCCTTGCGCGCCTTTTCCTCCTCCTGTGCTCGGCGGAGCGCCTCCCTCTTCGCGCGCTCTTCCTCCCGACGTTTGCGCGCTTCCTCCTCTTGTACGGCCTGCTTGGCCTTAAGCGCTGCCTCTTCTGCGGCCTTCTCTGCAGCCCGTGCTGCGCGTTCCTCGTCCTTCGCCAACTTCTGCAGCCTATATGCGGTGAACGATGAAGGGTGAGTATATGCGCACGGCTCATGTAGAGCGTACTTACCGCTTCTTATCCTTCTTTTTCTGGTTCTGCGTCTGCTTTTTCGCCTCCTTCTCCTTGTTGACTTTGTCCTCGTCCTCAAGTTCGCGGAGGAGCTGCAGTTGGCGTTCCTGCGCCACCTTCTCGCGGTATGCCTGCAGCACGCGTTGCTCAAACATTCGCGCGGCAAAGATCGAGAACATCCGCTTGCCCTCCTCCATCTTCTGCTCCTCAGTCATGACCTGCGCAGGGTGAGCGGGGGAAACGAATGCAATGTAATGCAGCATACCTCCTCATCTTCCTCGTCCTCGTCTTCGTCATCCTCATCCTCGTCCTCCTCATCCCCTTCCTCGTCGTCCTCATCCTCGCTGTCATCTTCCACGTCCACTATAGCTTCGTCTTCGCGCTGCATCCTTCGCTCAGCGAGCTGTTCCATCATCTCGAGGAACTTCTGCCCGTCGTTCTTGAGCAGGTCGTCTGCGACGGTGAGGATATTACCTGCGCCTGCTGCATAAGATCAAAGTCAGATGCGCGCACGAGAGGTGAGCATACTTGCCTGTGACGGTGAGGCTATTCCCGAAGCTCGCCAGCCCGTCGCGTCCATTTGCCTTGCGCGGTCGTCTCGTGCGGCGCTCGGGTGGCGGCTTCGTTTCGTCCTCATCTTCTGGCGCCTCATCCTCTTCGTCCTCGTCCTCGTCCTCATCTTCATCCTCCTCGTACTCCTCCTCCTCCTCGTACTCGTCGTCCTCGCCGTCGTCCTCAAACTCGCTCTCTGGTGGCGGTTTGGCCTTGCGGCCGTTGGGCAGGGCGTGCTTGCGAGGCGCCGGGTGGGCGGGTGCGTGGGGGTTGATGACGGCGCCGTTCTTGTCGAGCTCGACGGAGCCGGGGAAGGGCCCAGGGCCCTGCGGGGGAGGGAGGGTGCCGCCGGAGGAGATGTAGCGCTGCTGGTAGTTCGCGTACTGTTCTAGCTCCTCGTAATAAGCATCGTACAGTACCTCGAGCTCTTCCTCTATCGCATTCCTGTCTCGGGCAGGGCGGCGGGGCAGCACACGCGGGAGAAGGTGAGGGTCGGCAGGGTCAGAGGCGATCGGCGGGTCAGTGAAAAATTTTTGGGACAGCAAGGGCGGAACGCACCGCTTCCTGCCGCAGACGGCACAGCTGCAGGAATGCTTCTGCTGCTCCTTCATCTTCTTGAGGACGGCCTCCTTCTCGATCTTGACGAGGTTGCGGCGCTCTTCCTCGCCGAGGCCGAGCCAGAACTCCTTGATGCGCTCACGCTCCTCCGTCGTGCTGGTGCTCCAGATCTTATTATTTTTGGGCGGAGGCTGGCTGGCGCTGCCGTTCGCAGGCGGGCGTGGCTTGTGCGGGGCGGAGGCGTTGGAGGCGGGAGGCGATGGGTGATGATGGGGGTGAGTGTGGGGATAGGTGTGGGAGGCGAGGGGGGCCTTGCTCGCTGCGCGACG